TAAAATGAAAAAAAAATCAAAAATAATAAATATAATTAAAAAAAAGTGAGTGTAATGTTACTCACATGTAATGTTATCCTAATTTAAAAGTACCAATTTGAAAACATGGTACTTCACCAATTCACCTCTCCATAGGTTAATTATTAATTATACAAATATCAGTGTATAATAAAATCGTGTACATAAATCCAATAGGGTAGCTCAAGTGACAAATGAGCTCTCTTTGTAAGAGAGAATTCTGGGATAACCCGGGTTCGATGCCCAACTAGGAAAAAAAATCGTGAAATTTACCCCATTGTAATGAAGATCATACATAATTTTCATACCTGAAGATCATGAATTAGATTATATTATTTTCAACACCATTTCAATCAAACTCATGAAACTATTGAGATTTGTCTCTAGCCCATAATTTCTTGGATGAAGTTTCACTTTCACCGCCCCTTTTGATAATCTAATTACTAAATTAGAAAGGTTGTCTGTCCTCCATGGAATCTATCCACCGACCAGTCTGACACACTTACTTTCTTTGTCGTCTCCAACAAGATTCCTTATTTTTGTATATATCTATCTGCTTATATCCAAACCCAAACCTCTATGAACTACTATACATACTCCCACTAAAATCTGATATCTGATCTATAGATTATATTCTTCCATATCTTATCTCAGAGAAATAGAAAGATGAGCTCCATAGTCGACACCAAGAAGAAGAAGCAGATATCTGCAGAAGAAGAAGAAGGCGAAAACAACACCCAGAACTTCCGCGCCGCCGCCGCAGTGACAAGCCATATACAGTTGAAGCAGCCGGCGGCGAACTCCGGTGACACGCTGGACAAAGACGTGGTTCTCCGGCGCATCCGTCACCGGCGGAGAGTGAACAGGCTGAAATCCACCGTCAAAGCTTTTCTGGGCTTCGGGTCATCCTCCGCTTATAACAAGGATAAGCATAATAAGCAGAGTGGTGTTAATCCTCCTCCAACTTCTCAGATGATTAGCTGGGTTGATGATGCTTTTGCAGCCCCTTAATTAATCGTTCTTAATTATGTATCATAGTTAATTAATGTTTGTAATATATGTTTTGAGTACCCCTTGTTATGTTTTATGTGAGCATTTGTTGATTGTTAGTGGTAGGTATAGAACTCAAAAAGCTAGTTTTGTGAATTATGAGTAGTTAATTGTAAATTTATTTGTACATATAATTGTAAAACATATGAATAGATATTGTGAAAGGTGATCGGATAAAGTATGGAATAAGAAGGAAGAATAAAATAGTAATTAATTATTGGTCACTCGAGGTGAGCCAAGAACAAAGCATATTATTTAAGCTGGCAAAGTATTAGCTCCAAGAAAATTCATAGTTAATACTGGAAAGGTGAACTCTAGATGAAACTCGCATTGTAATTATAGTCGACAAAGAGTCATAAGGAGGTAAATCAGTATCTGTAGGTTGATCGGTTGTTGTTTCTTGTGAACTGTATGCTGGCCCAACTAAGTACATGAGTCTGGCCGGTGCTCTACTTCAGTACTTGATTGTTACGCAGCCTAATTTTTTGTATGCGGTGAGTTGGTTGCGTCAATATATGCATGCACCCACTGATGCTCATTGGTATCAGCTTAAGCGAATATTGCGGTATGTCAAAGGCACTCTAGATTATGGTTTGCGATTGCGCAAGTGTGTGGCTTCAAGCTTGCATGCAAACTGGGCTGGGTGTCCAGTTGGTCGTAAATATATCAACTAGTGGTTTTGCTTTGTTTTGGGATCGAATTTGATTTCCTGGGTGTGCAAGAAACAACGAATTGTTACTAGGTCGTCCATTGAAGCTGAATATAAAGCGTTGGTTGATGTGTCCAATTGAGCATTGGTTGTTGCTAGGTCATCCACCGTTCGGTTAATTCGATTAACCGAGATTTTGTAAATCCTTTAACCATTAATCGAATCGAAATTTTTTGATTAAAGAACGATTAGTCAAAATAATTCTTCGATTCAGTCGGTTAACCAAACTTTAACCGAAATTTGCACACTCCTAACTAGACGTTATCAAGAAGTATGCCATATCATGTGTAATACGATGGTTGTGTCTCACTGAGTCGCTGTAGACGTTTGTTTATGAGAATATAGGGGTTAGTTATAAAAATCTCATGTCTAAAGAGTAGTAAAAAGATTGTTTGGGATCAAAAGTCACGAGTAACATGATTCAAGGCTGGGGCACCTAGTTCACCTCATGGACATGATCGATTTGGGATAAAACTGATGAGTTTTAAGATTAATTGTAGATTTTTTTTTTATTTATTTCTTAAGTAATTAGGTCAAAAATTAATATTGAACTCTCTAAAATTTAAGATTTTGTGTTGTTACTCATCTTACACGGCCTAAAATCCGGTCATCGGTATAAATCAATCTTTCCTTCATACCAAGTGACAGTAGTGAATGATAATAAGTCCAACAAAGTGGGTATAATATTGAAAGAGGAAAGGGAATAAATTCCCACGGATGAAAGTTGTGATTATAATATATTTGTATAGGAAATCTGCAAGCAGTTTCCGTGAGTAATACCATAAATATTTTAATGATAAACATTTTATATTATACATTAAAGATTATAACAAAACACAAAAGAGCAATCTTTAATTTATTCTATCCAATCTGGAATTTGGGATTTGTCGTAATTAAGAATTTTGTGTTGACAAAGACTTCCCCCCTGGAATTTCGGGTCTGGTCGTCCTCCGACTTCGGAAATGTTAGGTTGCTGCCATTAAAGCTAAGCTTGAATTCTCAAGTTCTACAAAGAGCATTAAATATCTAGTCATACTATAGTAACTATACAGATGTATATTTCAAAAATATTTTACTCATGTCACAAGCGTATGCGTAGTGGTAAAGGGCGATCGAGTATATAGATTATATTCTTGTAAATTCACAATTAGTTCGATGTGTATCATGTTTAATGCAAAACGTCATAATTTTTTTAGTATTATCGGATGTATTACAAGTAATATATGTTTAATGTTTGATCCTGTGACATTCTCTCACGGAGAGGGACAAATGTGTCAATTGAGCACAAGGTGCTTACCAGAAAATGTTATAATTAATTAACTACAGAGTATTTAATTAAAAAGTACTCATGTATAATGATTTCACAAACAACATGGCATGTCAAATAAAATTTGTGTTCCCTAACTTAATGTCACGATTGAAGGTAGCAGTGTGAGCATTCAAATTTCACTGGAAATATGAACGAGAAAAAGGTTCACGATAATGGAAGGTGTGAATTAGATTCCTTGTTCGCACATGAAAATTAAGGTATGATTGGTTGGCTAATTGCACGACTCGTGATTTACCTCTGCAGTGACTTTAGGAGTAAGGGCATGTGGTCTATGGATTTAGGATTAGTTCGGCAAATTCGGGATTACACAAGTATAAAAATAAAAATAAAAATAATAACTACTTTATCATTTTTCGTTCATTCACTGAGCACTGTACAGAAAATGATGCATAAAAAGCTTTTGAAAAAAAAAAAACAAAAAAACATTGTTTTAATTAATATTCTTGTAAACGAAATTATATTAATTGTTCACCTTACCATACATTAACAACTTGTTTTAAGCATTTAGTGTGCATGTACTAAATATTCTGATTCGATTTAGGAGTCACAAAATATTCTTTAAAAATCTTCCAATTCATTCCCCTTCTCAAGCAAGATACCATACTCCTAACAAAATAATATTTTTTAGTAAGGCGTATAGTTTCGTGATGATATGCCTTATTTTTAACTCGAGATATATTTTTCATACGTTGTATGTATTTTTCTAATTAAACGTTAAATATTACACCCAAAATGAACTTATAACTAAACAATTATTTGAAACGTTGAAAAAGAAAATTGCTTGCTAGTATTATAAAGCCTTTGTGTAAAATGTATTTGTAATTCAGCAAAAATAAATTTTAAAAATAAAGAAATAATTTTTTACAAATACAACAAATAAAATAAAAGAAAGATCAGGCAAAGACATTACCCTCAAACAAAAGAGCACAACCCCACAACGAAGCCAATTAACAACAAAAATATACTTTGAAATGCTGAAAAAGAGATGTGAGCGCACGAACATTATACAATATTATTAAACATCATAGGACATGAGGTATCTTTTCCCAAAAGGTTGAATCTCCAACCCCAGTCCGACAAAGCATTTGGGAGAATGTAAATCATGGTGATTCAATGGCTAATCCAAACACACTGCCGCTGCCGAGGTTTGAAACTTGGTCTCTTCTCCCAAATACTGCCTACTGAACCTGTGAGCTAAGCCTGTGCGGGCAGAACATGAGATATCTATCATGATGTAGTGACTTAATTTTATTTATTTTTTAATGAAAAAAGTAGCAACTAGGGTAACTCCAGCCCACCCCTCGCCAAAAAAATAAAATAAAATAAAAAAATTCATGAAAGTGAATTGCAATTACCCTTTCCTTGAGGACAAGGTATTTGACAAGCCAAAGGTATTCACACCATATTTTCAACCTTTCCACACGGGTACAATTACATACATAAAAATTACAATCATCATTACAATTTTAGAATGTAAATCCACCTCTTATTTTTGACTTTGAATGTGACACAAACTAATTAATATTTAATCTAATATCCAAAAGATTAATTTCTCCACTTTTAATGTTCACATCTTAATTAGTTAGAATGATTTTTACTGATCCCAAAAGTAATAGCAACTCTTGTTTTTAATTGAAAATCTTCAATTTCTTACCACTTTAAGAATTTATAGCTGTTATTGACTACTTATGTATTATCGATCTGATGACTTCATCATGTGTTAAAAAATTAATACAGTAAAAGAACTTTAAAATGGGTAGTCAGATCAGTGCAACATTATTCTCGTACCAGAAGATTATGAGTGTGCTGTATTATAAAAACTTTGATTATGCATCATTATATATATAATTACGTAATGAATGAATCAAACGGTAGTGGGACACGACACAATAGACGACTATAGTTGTAGCCTAAATTTGAATGCGGTTTGGTCAAATGACCCATAATTTTGTTCTGTTACCCCTGTGATTATGCCGTCCATATGTTTCTGATTTCTTTTTGTCTTCTTCATCCTCTTTTTTCCTCCCATGACTAAACTGTTTCAAGAATGATACTAGGTTTCATCGTTTTCTTGATTTTCCGATCAAACGCCGTTTCCGCCGCCTGCAACAGATCATGCGGCCATGTTTCTCCTGCGGAGCTTCCGTCCCCGTTTGGGTTCTCCTCCGGCTGCGAAATCCGCCTGAACTGCACATCCCGGGGAACTATGGCGGTGGACGACTTCCCGGTCTACGACGTGACCGCCGACAGTATTCTGATCAACCTTCCGGCGAAATGCGGGCGGCCCATTGCGGCCGCGGGGGCGTTGTTCACGGCGAACTACGCGCCCACCAGGCAAAACGACATTCTCCTGCAGAATTGCAGCTCGCCGGAGACCGATTGCCGGGTCCCGTCGACGGAGATTGGGACGCGTTTCGACCTCCTCGATTGCGGGAGCGGAATGGATAACATTAGCTGTTATTCGGAGAAAACTAAACGCGGAAAGTTTATTCATTTTGACGGATTGATGAAAACTGGGTGCAAATCTCTGTTCTCCGCCGTGGCCGTGAAGTCTCTGGGCAACTCGCCGGCGGTGGCGATGGATATTCAGGTGGTTCAGTTGGAGTGGTGGCTCACCGGAAAGTGCCGGTGCTCTAAGAATGCTAATTGTACTAGAATCGGGCGGGTGGGTTATCGGTGCCAGTGCTTTGAAGGGTTCGCCGGAGATGGCTACCAGTCTGGATCCGGTTGCCGGAAAGGTATTTATAGCTCCCAGAGTCTAATTATTTTAAAGCATTTAATTTTGTGTTTATTCAATTCATTTCAATGGCTTAGGGTTGGATCTTGGCTTAATTAATGGATTAGTTGATGAATTAAATTAATTAATCCAGAGAATGATAAATACAATTCAATTAAAAATTCTAATATATCACAAAATAGGGTTAATTTATGTTTTAGTAGCTCAACTATTTTTGTATTTTCCTTTTTCATTTTTGGTTATTAATTCTAAAATCAATCAATTTTTTAACTAAATTTTGATTTTTTTTTAAAAAAGAAACACGGTCTAAAATTTAAATAAATATAGGTTTAACAAGCCGCAATATCTCGATTCTAGAGTAAGATGGTGTTTGATTTCTTAAGGAAGAGTCTCACAATCTAAAGATCATTAAGACATAATATTGAAAGTTGGACAATCAAGACTATTAAAAGTAATCAATTTTACCAAAAAGTGTTAACTTAAGTGGGAGAAATTTGAATCATTTAAATATAAAATCCATTCCCTTAGAAGACTAAGTTAAATTAGTCTTATTTTAGTGAAATGAGAATGCTAGTTATTTTTTTTTTTTTTTTGAATGTTACTGGCCCTATTACATTGTAGTATCTGTTCATATACTTTCTCAACCTACTGAAACACAAAGAACCAATAACACCTCCACTGAGGCTCGAACTCATAACCTTCCAAATGGAAGTCCAACCCGGGTACCATTAGACCACATAGTCTTGGTGAATGCTAGTTAATTATGTAAAGAATAATGTCATGAATGTATTTTATATAATAGGGAATACCAAAAAAACATATGACATGACTTTATTAATTGAATGGATGGTACAAGACTAAGGCAGAGCGGGGCGAGCCAACCTATTTTAGGCCCGTATTTTGACGGGTTTTTTATTCCGCCTTTATTATATGACGGGCTTTTTATCTCGCTTTTATTATATGACGGGCTTAGGCGGTCTATATGTCCGTTTCGATAGCTCTAAAGATATGTGATATAGTGTTACAAAAATTACGCCTAGACACCGATTAATCAGCGCCTAGGCGCTGGCCGTGCTGCCTAGAGTATCACCATAATCGGTGGTCTAGGCAGCTGACTGGCTAGGCAGCCGATTAGGTCGCCTAGGCGCTGACCGCTTAAGTCTCTTAGGCGCCGATTAGCTATTGTTCTCTTCTTTTTTAAATTGATTATTTCACTCAAAACGATATCGTTTTGAGCAAAATAACCGTAAACTGTTTAAACTCTAGATGTTTTTTAGGTTAATATTTAATATTTTAGTATTAATTATCAAAGTATTAAATAGTTTATAATTATCAAGTCTTAAAAATTAAATAAAAACTTAAACAATTTTTTTTTTAAAAAAAAGATACACAAGTACTTAGGAGTCGATTAATCACCATCTAATCGTTTTTCGAATGTCTAGCAATTTTTTCAACCATGATGTGCCGCGAAAGGCCTAAAGGGGTGTGAAAATTGGGTTAAGTTGACAAAAGGCTCATAATTGATTACAAAATTGGTGGGGCAAAAGCCGCTTTGGAAAAAAGATTGGGGAAAGGGAAATAGTTTTAAAATTGAGTGCACCACTATGCTCTTGTCCGTTTTTGGTACTCTTTTTCCCAAAAATCGTTAGAAAATGATGAAGCTTGGTCCCAAAGGAAAATGATGTATAGACTTTACAGGGGTAAGAAAAGGAAAAAGGATGAAATAAGCCTCTATAAGTGAAACAAAAGTATAATTATGTTCTCTAATTTTTTTTTTTAAATGTTTTATTGAGGCTCATTAAATCAGTAAAAATTTGTAATTAAATTCTAATATGACTTATTTAGCAAGTTATCAATGATTTGGTGTTTATTATACTTTCACATGAGTTATTATTTTGATGTGACAATTACTTGGCATACAATATGACAATGATTTGAAATAATTTAAAAAATATTAATAACTTAAAAAAAAAATAAAAACATTAAAAAAAAAGTTTTTAAAAAACTACCCGACAAAGACTTCCCGTCTTCATCCGGCAATTATTTTTATTACTCTTTTTATTTTTATTTTATTTTTACTATTATTTTAATCTTAAAATACTGTTAAGTAATTGTCATATTGCGTCACTACATCATAATAATAACACACGCAGAAGCTTACTGTAACATACTAAATAGTTAAAATTATAGTTCAATTGTACGTTTTGTATGTGTCACTTCGTAGTTAATGTGTAAATAGTGTTTGTAGTTTATCATTTCAATTATGTTTAACAATGTTTTACTCAAACTAAACGTGTGTTCTTGTCCAAACAGAGATCACAAAATGCAACCCTACTAAGTACCTCTCAGGCAAATGTGGAGGAACAACCAAAGTAGGTGTTCTAGTTGGAGGTAATTAAAAAACTTTCATTTCTTTAACATTCATATAGAGTAGGGATGACAATTTCAATCCGACCGTGGATATCCACCCGAACCCACCCCGCATGGATTGGATTTTTTTGGGTGATGGTGGGTGGTGGATCGAGGGTGGGTCTTAAAAAAGTAAACCCGCGGTGGGTCGGGTTGGATTTGAATTCTATGTACAAGACCCGCCTAGAACCCCACCCGACCCACCATGTGTGTGCGTGTATATATATATATATATATATATAATAGTAAAATAAGTACTAGTATATAGTTATTTATAAAAGTTTATATAACTTCGTGTATCTTTTTACTATTTTTTTTATATCAAAACTACTAAGTTTATTTTTAAAAATTAACAATTTAGTTATTATATTTAAATATTTCTATTATTTATATTTTAGTATCACTAATGGATTTTATTTTATTTTTTTATTATATGTAAATAATTTAAATATTATTTTTTGAAAAATATAATAAGATGATAAGTGGTGGGTACCCATAGTGGGCACCCGCACCCGGTGGAGGTGGGGGTGGGTTTTGAAAAAGTCCACCCGATGCGGGTTGGAGGTGGGGTGGGTGGAGAAAATATAAAGTGGGTCCGGTGATGGATGTAGCCCTCCCCGACCCACCCGACCCATTGCCATCCCTAATAGCAGTATTCTTGTATGCGCATGTTACAAGGTGTAATGAATAGACCCTAACTGTAGAAGACACATTTAAGCTCGTATCATACCCAGACTAATTCCCGTTCGCACCGGCCAACCCAATTAAGGGGCAAAGTGTTGGCAGATTGATATATACTGGATCATGCGGACATAGCTTCCCGTCTGGTCGATGCGGATTGCACCATCAAGTATGCATAAATACAATATATATTGTTCGAAAATGCAGCATAATTATCGTGCATTTTCGAACATTTTGTGGTGCATTTATGTGTACCGCATGGCTGCACGGTGAACTTGACCGTTTTAGATGGAATGATGGAACAAATTCTTTAATTCTACAGTGTTTCTAGCAGATCCCAAATCCTTATTTTCCCCTAAACCATGAATGCAAAAACACCAACATACACTACATTTTTGCAGCATTAACTTAAGCAAATCTTCTTTTCATGCTTTCCTGTGTTCCCAGGAGTTGTTGCGGGTGCTGTGTTAATGGTGACAGTAGGCCTAATCTGCTGCATCATTCGCCGGAGAATCACGCTGCACAACCGGAGCAAGAGGAGGCGGGAGCTAAGCGTGACGACGGGGATCACAATTCCGGTCTATCCCTACAGGGAAATGGAGAAAGCCACAGACTTCTTCTCAGACAAGAGGAGGCTTGGCAATGGAGCTTATGGCACTGTGTATTCTGGGAAATTAACAGACCAGGAATGGGTTGCCATCAAGAGAATCAGGCGTAGAGGCATGGACAGCAATGAACAAGTTATAAATGAGATCAAGCTTCTTTCTTCTGTAAACCATCCCAATCTGGTTCGCCTCCTGGGATGTTGCATAGAGAAAGGGGAGCAAATTCTGGTTTATGAGTTCATGCCTAATGGCACTTTATCCCAGCATTTGCAGGGAGAAAAGGGCAGTGGCCTTTCGTGGGCGGTCCGCCTTAAGATCGCCTCGGGAACGGCCCAAGCTGTGGCGTATTTGCACAACGCAATGCACCCGCCCATCTACCATAGAGACGTCAAGTCGAGTAACATCCTTCTGGACAACCAGTACAAGCCTAAAGTCGCAGACTTTGGCCTGTCCCGCCTAGGCTTGACCGAGCTCTCCCACGTCTCGACCGCCCCACAGGGCACCCCGGGGTACGTTGACCCACAGTACCACCAGAGCTTCTGCCTCTCAGACAAGAGCGACGTCTACAGCTTCGGGGTCGTTCTGGTCGAGATCATCACCGGATTGAAGGCAGTCGACCTCACCCGCCCCCAGGACGAAGTGAACCTCGCAGCCCTGGCGGTTGAAAGAATCCGAAACGGGTGCCTACACGAGATCATCGACCCATTGATCGAGCCACACAGCTGGTTCTCAGTGCACAAAGTTGCAGAATTGGCTTTCAGATGCCTGGCTTTCCACAGGGACATGAGGCCTTCAATGATGGAAGCCGCAGTCGAGTTGGAGCAAATCAGGCTAAGCGTGCAGGCGTTTCGCGAAGATTACAGCACTGCAGCTTCATCATCTGAAGCTTTATCCTCGCGTTCATCTTCATCAGACGACGCCAGTGATAAACCACTGAGTGTCAATGGAGAGGGCGAGCCTCGAGCATAACATATATAAATAATAAACGTGCAGTCTCACTATTGGTTTAACTTTTTAGTCGAGACAGAACGTATCCGATCCTTTAATTGCCAGTGTATATTTCAAGGTCTCAGTTTAGGATACATGGCAGAGTGAACAAACCTCTCCACAATCAACAATTGTAATACAACATATATTGATTGAACTTATGAACTACTATTTCCACTGCAAATTAAAGTTGTGCAGATTACTTGACTGCATTTGTGTTTGTAATTACCAATAATCTTCTTTTTTTCTTTTTATGACTAAAGAAAACTCGCAATTACTATCTGAAATTGTGCACGGGATAAATCCTGCCTTGTGACTCTAACCTGCCCAGGATACACCTAACTTCGCCTGGGTAGGATAGGCTGCGTGGCCCTATAAGAATGGGAGGTACAGTTTGAAATTGCACCCTTTGCTTCCAAAGGACGGCACTTAGGAGAATGTGGAGAAGAGGGGCACATATTCAAAAGGCTACAATGGGATAAGTGGACCAGACTAACCTACTAGTATAAATAGACCATTAGAGAATCGAGTTTTATTACATTTACTCTCAAATTCATTTGTCTATCAATCATATCGTGTAACCAAGAAGTGTAACATCAACCAATTGGAACTTGTTACATAGCACAAACTGATAGGATTTACTATAATATGCTCCACAATTTTGCTACCCATACATCTTCGTTAGATTCTAATCTACATCTCCACATTTTGTAATAGCTCTTTGCTAATTGGAGTAGTCCAACATCCTTGGTGGACTCTTCTCCTAGTCATCTTGTAAATAAACCTTACAAGGATTCTATTATTGTTCTTTAATAATAATAATATACTACGTAATAAAGAATACTTATTGATGGATGAGATACTAAGACCCAACTGACCAGTTAAGTACTGATCGATTAGACCCTTCTCTCGGTGGCTAGTCAGTGGCACGGGCTTTGGCTTAGGCATGGTATAGGCGACTTTAGAGGACTAGCAGGCTATGTAGGCAAGGTGAGGCTCACAGTCTATGGCCTAGTTCGGGCGAGAGTGGGGCAGTTCATACTAACGCGAGGTCTAATAGGACCCAACTACCTATTCCAATGTAATAAGGTATCCTAATGTGAAAGATCTTAGGAGTTAGCTTCCTTTTAGACCCCGAGTCCCCTTGTATAAATATCCTCTCTCAAAGGGTAAAAAAGATTTGATTTTTCCTAATAAACACCATTCTCTCGGTATTATTCTTATACACTCGCTGTATTAACTTTGGTGTTGGCCCATCATCGACTGTCAACACTTATTATCTCTTACATCTTGTTTTATTTATTTCAATCTATACATAATATATAAATAAGAACTAAATATGGCCATTAAATAAAAATATCTTACATGCATGTCTATTCTATCAAAATCTCTCATATAATACTCTTTATAATTATGTAAGATGCCCCTTAAAACCACTCATATATCACCCCATCTTACAAGACACCATTGGCAAAATATGTGCTGTAATCCTCACGACATGTATCATCATTGGCAAGATTTTTGATGTTATGTTTCACCATTCTTTCCAAATAATGTATAGAGATTTATCAAACGTGGAATACATGTGAAATGACTTTAGTAATGGGTCTAAAAGAGGATGGAGTTTCAGCCTTTGGTAAAGTATGATACCATCTTTTTCATGCCTAGTGCTATACCATTGAAGACATGAGGTAGACACTTCAAAATATTCACTTTCTTTGTACTATTCATAATCTTTATCCAATGCCTTTTCAAGGTATCTAATATTATTATCAAGGGAATGTAAGCTTTGAAATGTTACATTTGCATGTTCAATTCAGGTTATATTACTTTCTCAAAGAAATACAACATGCCCTCCACATCACATTTTGAAGGGGATGTGATTCCCTCCCAAACCTTGGTTTTTTAAGATTCCCAAAAACATTTACTAATTTTGCCCTTTTAATTCTAATCTTTATCTACTAAGAAATATATATTATATGTTAGCTTATTATATGTATCATATTTAATTATTTTTGCAATCATATGAGAAAGGTTATAATGCCAATTGGCACCATGTCTCTTTGTACAAAATCAAAGTTAGAAACTATGAGGATAAAAGTCATGGGTGCTGATCGATACCTTAAAATTTTTCATATACATGCGTGTTAACATTACATACTTCAGAATTAATCAAACACATTTTAATATCAAGAATGTAATCTGACATTTTGTGAACCAAAACTCTCTCAAAAAGCCTAAATCATTACATTGTGGGCTCAACCTCGGACCTTTAATTTGGGTTGCAAGACATAGTGGCACACTCATCCATCAATTCACATTACATGTGTCCACGAATGTCATTCATTCTTTTATACAATATCTTCAATACCATATCCTTAAACCTCAAAATCTTCCAATAGAAGAAGTATATAACTATTAGCTAGCCAATAAGGGCTTGTTTGGCTGCCAAGCACAAAAGTATCCATCCCCCATAAATCATTTTCCAGAAATAAGTAAAAAATAAATAAAATTATAAACTGACAAAGAAAAACGAAACAAAAAAACAAAAAAGTGGGCACCAAAAACCTTACTCAGTGAATTAGCAAACAAAATTTAACGTCACTAACAAGAGATACATAAATGTAATGTCTTTGCCAAATGCCAACTGAAGAGAATAAATTAAAACCAGAAAAGAAATGGTCAAAATGTAGTTTAGTTTTCCAGTACCACTGCCATTACCAGAGTACCAGATAGCTTATACTTATTGGAGGGCCCCGCCACAACCTCGAACCACCCTACTTAATGTTTGTTTCAACAAATACGATGTTTACCAATTCTCCCGCCCAAAAGAAGTGTCTATAATTCAGTTAGGGGATTTGTTACTGTGTCTGATAGTAAGTATATTAAAAAAAATTGTTTAACTTTTAGCGATTTATGAACAATCTAAGCTGATTTATTTTAATCACGTCTCGTTATATATAAAAGAAATAAAAATTATGATTTCATTAAAAAAAAAAATTAATCCCAACATATTACAACAAGGATAATAAAACTGTAGGCAAATATACCACGTCAGAAACTGGCTCTCTTCAGTGACGTTACGGTGACGGAAGCACCTAACGGCGACGTTCCCACCTCGATGTCGAAAGAATCGTACCGGAGGAAAAGTTCGACGACCATCAGCCGTGAAACCAAGACGACGAAATCCTTGCCGGCGCACTGTTTGTTGTTCACGGTGGGGCTCTCCGTTTCCGGGCCGTTAGACCATAACACGTGGCTCAAGAGTTCGTTTGCGTTCTCGCCGGTGAACCGGTCCGGCACGAACTCCTCGGCCCGGTCGAAGATCTTCGGGTCTTTTGTGGCGAACGGTTGGAACCCGAATAGCATCTCCCCTTCCTTGACTTCAAATACGGCGTCGTGTGACTCGACGACGAAGTCGCGTTTGGCCCGGCCGTATTGGGCCGGGACCGGCGGTTCGATCCGGAGGGCCTCGTACACCACCGACTTCATCAACGGCATCTGTTCCATCCCGGCCATCGTGACTTTCCCGCCGTTGGATTTCACGACCGACCGGATCTCCCGCGCCAGCTGCGCGTGCAGCTTCGCGCCGCCGCGGCCGATCCACTTGATCATGTTGGGGAAGAAAATCTTCATACCTCCGAACGAGTTGAAGCACGTGGCGAAGAGGAGGTTATGACAGGCCTCCTCACGTGACAGCCCGAGATTCTCGGCCTCGTCGAGAATCTCCGTTGAGTTGGCGTAGAAGAACTCATAGAGCCTCTGGTAATCTTTCTTCACCAGCGCCGCCGGCAACCGGAAAGTATGGAGGAGAGCTTCCTCTAAACCCTTAGGGAGCCCGAGAACTAATAAAGGATGGAGATTAAACACTACCCATTTCCCGACGAGATTAGGGCCGTCGTTTCCGATCTTCGTCCCCGCCGGATCAACTCCGAACCACGATCGGGCCAAGAAATTGAAAGCCGCCTGATCGTTAGCGGCATTCAAGCCGACTTTACCCTTGCTAGCTACCTCCTTCTCCAAACCCTCAAACATCTCCGTGAAGCTCCGGTGGAACTCCGGTATGACGTGGCCGCGCCGGGAGGAGAGGAGAAAGAACATCAGCTGCTTCAGTTGCGCGTGCTTCGGCTCCGACGGGTCCAGATACGAGAGGATCCGGTACCCGCCGGTGAGTTCCGTGGAGGGCATGAAAGTTCCGGTGAAGAGATCCCGTTTCTCGACCTTTCCCAGATCAAACAGCGTCGGAAAACTCTTGCCGTCGAGCAAAACCACGACGTTAGGGCTGAAGGAAATGAACGGGCCGGGTGGCATGTTCGTCCTGAAAACCGTCGACCCGTATTTCTGAACCCGAGACCGGAAAAACTCCTCTCTTCCTTGATTGTAGAAATAGTCCAGCCGATCTTTCCACGGCCCGATCAACGGCAGCCCATAGTCGCCGGGTATTTTCCTTTTTGGGAGTTTCTCCGGGACCGGGGACAAGGAAACCGACGGCGGAGTATCCGACACGGTGGCAGAAACAGGGCAAATCTTGAAACGCCGGCTAGAAGGCTTCAACGTTAAAGAAGATTTCTGAGAAGGGATTTGGAAGTGAACAGCTAATGAAGATGACGCCATTTTCTCTGTAAAGAACACAAGTGAAGTGAAGAAGAAAACTTATTGAATATGATGAATGCTTATTGTGAAATGGTGATTGCTGGCATGTTGCCCCCAGTAGAATATATGTTTATCTTCTGTATTATTATAATGCATTTATAAAGGTGAAGGTGACGAAGGATTCCATTTTAATATTGTTATTGGTGGGCCATTTTTAAAGTATTTGAAAATTATAATATTAAGTATCGTGAAATGTGTGCAACTAATTGCCATAGCCTCATTTTGGGTTTTAATGATATATTTCAAATGTTAGTGTTTGTGTAAGTTTGATTCAACGTTCAAAGTGAGAACTTTTCTGCATTTTGCAAGTTGGTATCATGTTATTTGGTAGCACAAACCAATCACTATTGATAGAATTTGATTGCTTTTAATATTAGAGTATAATAATATCTTGAGTTAATACCCAAAATGGTCCCTCGACTATGTCATAATTACCAATTTAGTCCTCAACTACCATTCTTACCCAATTAAGTCCTCAACTATGTAACTTTTACACAATTAAGTCCTCAACTATACAATTCTTACCCAATTTAGTCCCCAACTATACAATTCTTACCCAATTTAGTCCTCTGTATTAATTTGACTGTTTGTTGACTGTCAAAAGTCGGGATAAAATTATAATTTTACAAGATTTCTCCTTCCTCTCCATTTAGCAGCGCCAAACCATGCAACAATACACTCCGATCAGATTTCGATCGTCAAAATATCGTTGGAAATCAAATTCATGGGCTATCCGATGTATAACCACTACTTCGATACTGACAGGTTTAGAACCCAACCGGAGCTTATTGCTACATGGTTTGGCGCTGCTAAATGAGGAGGAAGGACAAAACTTGTAAAATTACAACTTTATTTCCACTTTTGACAGTCAACAAACAGTCAAATTGACAAAGGACTAAATTGGGTAAAAATTGTATAGTTGAGGACTTAATTGGGTAAGAATGATAGTCGAGGACCAAATTGGTAATTACGACATAGTCGAGGGACTATTTTGGGTATTAACTCTAATATCTTAATAAAAATATGATTTCTGATTTAATTCTTTAATTGTTAATTATAGATATATTTTTAATGTTTTAGGGAAGCAATATATTTAATGATGGCGCACAAGATTGATTTTTAAATTACAGTAACTCAATGACTCAGTAGACAAGGTCATCGTCGTCGAGGTTCGAACATCGGTCTCTTCTATCAAATAGTGCTTACTGAATCATTGAGACAAGCCGATGCAGGGCAGCAATAAAAACTCATAGTCGGAAACATGTTGGTTATGCGGAAACCATACTAGTTTCTGGCCGGAAACAAGAGTGGAAACAATGTGCGCGCGTGTGTGTGTGTTTTTTTTTTTTTTTTTGTTTTTGTTTTTGTTTTTGTTTTTTTGTTTTTGTTTTATATAAATTTGATCTATCTTATTATGTTTTCCATCTCTATATAAATGAGTGTTATGTGTTAGTGTGACTATTCTTTGTTATTATTATTTTATATTGTATAGTTACATTTTGTGTGGTATTAGAATAGCTGACTTAGTTTATTCTATTAGTTAGGATTAGTTAGAGTTTCATTCAAGATATATATACTCTGTTATCTGTGTTAATCTATCTTAGGAGACTTCTATAATCGGGTATCAGACAGGTTATCCGATCTCTCCAACCTCCACCGCAAAATTAACCCCCCCCCCCTCACCGTCTCTTCTCCAGCGATGTCGGCCTCCTCCGAATGCACAGTCTCCGCCGGCCGGCGCTAATACACTCGCCGGAGCGCATCATTATGTCATGATGAAGCTGACGCTGAAGAATTTCCTATTTTGGCGAATGCAACTCGTCCCCTTCCTCCGCGGCCAAGAGCTTCTTGGCTTCGTGGACGGCAGCCTCCCGTGTACACCGGAGACGATCCCCGGCCCACCGTCGACCGGCGATTCCTGGATGGTCTACAGGGGAGAATAGGATGAGCATATTTGTTTTCGTATGTGTAAAGAATATGGTTAATTAAACAGTTAAAATCTAAAAAATGAACCAAACATACCAAGACGGTTTTCTGAAATACAACCAAACACGGGAAAAGAAAATGTTTTCTATAAAATAACTCATATTTAATAAAACATTTCTCAGAAATCATTTTTCTACTTTTGAAATACACCCCGAGTGAAGATCAAAAGTATAATAAAATATTTATTTATTTATTTTAAACAATTATTCATACTTACATAGTTATACCAAGTACGATTCAATATTAATATCCATTAGTATCGTAAAAATACTAATTAATTAAATGGTTGCAATTTGTTTATTATTAAACTATTAAACCTTTTACCAAACAATCTTAACACCACGTTTCCGAAACACTAAAAACTTAACAAAACATATACAACTCTGATTATAACTTGAATCTTCCATTTCGGATTGAAATCCCTTGTCTCCCAACAATTATTAACTTTTTTTTTTTGTTATTAATTATTAGTTAACTCAATTCTTAAGTCATAATGTTATGGTTGCTGGCAATGCTCCCTCCTTGTTATGTAAGAAGTTTGACCACTGACAGTCAAAGATTATCCTAAAGTCAGCGAAGAAAAATGGTCAAAAGTATGAAAGTCAAAGTTAGGAACTTCTCCGACTATCCAGGGAACGCTTGCTGCTACCGCCCAAATTGCTGCTCCACGTGTGCGCCATTTTCCATTTAAAAGAAGAAAAAAAATCCCCTAGTTCAATTTCCTGGAAGTTTAATTTTAAATTTGGTTCAAATTTATATTACAAATATTTAAAATATAAAGTAAATTTGAACACAAAATCTTTTATGTAATATATAATTTTAATAAAATATTTTTAATAATTCATATTTAATTTTTATAATAAGAAAATTAAAACAAAAAATAAAATAATAAAGAAGTCATTTAATTTAAAAAATAAAATAAAATAATTTGGTAGCCGTTGCATATAGCAATGACCAAGAGTCCAAAACACAGAAAAAAAATAATAAAAAAAAAGATTCAGAGTTGCGGCCACTCTAAAGTGCTCATCGTGCGTGTTTGGGAAACACGCTCACTAAACGCTACATGTACTCATTTGACTTTTTTCTTTTCTCTCTAACAAAATATAATTTTTTACATGAGAAAATTTTTTACAAGATAAAATTTTTACAAAGAGTTCTGATCTATCACATGGACTCCAATCTCTGCTCTAAAAGAGTTACGGAGTATTATTATTATTATTATAACACACACAAATAAATAATATTATTCTTCCCAAATAAATAATATTATATTAATACACACACATAACACACACAAATAAATAATATTATTCTTCCCAAATAAATAATATTATATTAATATGGAAACGTGTTGAATTATAAGGAAGCGCAATAATTCTTACTTTCCCATTCTTTCCTTTGCCTCCACTTTTATATAACTTTCAACACAAACACGTCAGTACTGTACATTAGCAATATTGAGTAGCGGTTGGTTAAAATTAAACATTGAAATTGAAAGTTGATAAATATTTGTATACATTTTAGTAAGAGTATTCCTTATTGTTGGTCTAACGTAACAACGCCAACTTCAATTGAATACCACTATTGCTTGGATTTCTTCCCCGAAAAGGGATGCATTTTGTCTTATTGAGCATATAATAATATATAAATAATAAATATGCAATTCAATAATTAACTTAATTAGTTTTTTTTTTTAATATATGAAATGGAATAATTTTCTAGTACAATTTATATTTTATGTGTAGTTTCCATATTGTATATATAAGAGTTGTGTTTAATCCGTATACACCTTTCGATAATGGTAGTTAATTTCTCTTATATCCCAATAAAATATTAAACAAATAAAAATATCAATCCAAAGACCTTGTGCTTTAATGAATTGATAAAATATGTATGTGATGACAATATATTGTAACAGAGGCAATAGTACTAAAAACAAAAAATCAAAATCAAATTTGATAATAAAATCTGAAATGTGTCCTTAAAAAGTTAATAATATAGTATCTGCATACATTAATTTTGGCCCCACCAAGAAAGTAATTTGAATGGATCCACACACTGAAAGAGCAAGTGGAGCCATGCTCGTTATGACAAATAAACACCCGTTGTGGTTATTTTTCATTAATTAAGTATAATATTAGTTTTTCTTTCAAAAAAAAAAGTATAATATTAATTTATAAAATTTATATATTTATAAATTACTTTTTGGACTATTAAACACAAAAAATTAAATTTAAAAATAATATATAAATACAAAAAAAAATCAATAAATAAATAATTGAATTAACTAATAAATAGTAAATTACACATAAAAAATAAAACAAAATGGAGTGCATAACATGAAAAGTCAAATGGCAAATATGGTGAGCAAAAGAAGTTTTGTTGTTGTTATGATTTTATTTGCCCCATGTCTAATATACATTAATAAGTCATTTGTCTTTTAGCTCAAAAGATTTAGAAGAATTGAAGAGACATACTGACGATTATATTATACATGAACCAACTCGGGGTAGCATCACGGACCCGAAGCACCAAGGTGGAGCCCAAGACATCTCGACCCAAGGCACCTCGCACCTCGGAGGTGCCCCAGCCCAAGCCACTTGGTGGTGGGCTCGGGTGGAGCAACTCGGCCTTACCCGAGCTCGAGTCATAATGAGCTCGGGTAAGGGAGCTTGGTCCTGCCCGAGCTCAAAGGGCGTTGACCCAACCCGGTCTTGCCCGGGCGCGGTCAACGCGAAGATCTAACCTCCCGCCATTTTAGGGGGGTGGTTGAGGGGTTTTTGCCTGTATAAAAGTCCTTTTCATTGTCTTGTAAGGACACTGGATTTTCATCCTACACACTTTGTCCTGAATTATCGTTGTAATAGCTCGACTATTATTATAATACAATCTACGGTCTTCACGGCCTTACGACGTCGTATTATTTATCTATTTGCGTTCTTATCCGGATTTAGCGATTCGGGTGCCACCCCGGATAATTAAATCCATCACGTACATATATGATGATAAAGTAAAAATGTAAATAAAACAATTTTACATATAAACTGAATATTGAAAATTATGATTATTAATAAAAACAATGTGTGTATATATATATATATATATATATATATATATATATATATATATATATATGAGCGCTCATATGCGGCGGGGTCTTACGGTGCGGCGGTGCGGTCAAATTCCAGAATACACCAACAGTGTTAACAATATGCACCAACAGTGTAATAAAAACACACCCCAATGAAATGTAATCAAAAATCACAAAATACACCACAGACTCAAAAAAAATACACCATATAACTCACCACCCCCAATGGTGTATTTCCGAACAGTGTATGGTGTTTTTACTCACACCTAATGGTGTGTGTTTGGTGATGCAGGGCTCTGTTTACTCTGTTTTGTGTGGTGTATTTCCTAACGTTGATGGTGCATATTTGGTGAACTATTGGTGTTGTCGCACCGTAAGAAATAACCGCACCGTAAGACACTGCCGCACCTGAACCCGCATATATATATATATATATATATATATATATATATATCGTAATCATGTTATACCTTATCCAGTTATCTCATTCTATTTTTTGAAAAAATTATGAATTCGCAGGCAAAAAGAGAAAAAGGTCTTGCAAACTTGAGTAAGTCTTTGCGGGGGCCATGAGAGTTTTGCACGCAACAAAATTAGATCGAATTGGCATTGACACTTCAATTTTGAATAGTAGAAATGTAGAATGGTAGAATGTCAAATTGGTTTTGTATAACTTTAATTTCCAAGAGGACTAATCAATTGTTCTTCAAAAAAAAAAAAAAAAAAAAAGGACTAATCAATCATATCAATCGGATTTAACCTCACCAAGGCAAATGAGCCATGGTCAAATCAGTCCTCAATCCAAAATGACATATATGATGATTCAATTTTTTCTTTGCGTAATGCTTTGTGCGCTGGCCTGGGGTCACACTTGCCTTCAAGCAAAGCTGGTGCATCAAATTAAACCCCGAAAAGATGTTTGAGTAGGTAGAGTATGATTTTTATTCTTAAGGGGCGGTAAATTTATTAGGTAATGTGAGTCTAATAATATTATATTATCTTGTTTAGTTCAATTTATGAGATTACCTGATAGTAATGTTTCAAGGTAATGTGATTACCTCCATTCGGCACAATTTTGACGCATCGCACTTGTGCAGTGTGCATTATATATATTCCAATAACTCTGCACTGTAACTTCAACTTACATGCCGATTTTGACCCTTGTAAGTTCAGAATTTGAGTTTGTGTTCTTCAAAAGAGTTGTAGTCCTTGAGTTATCTTTCCAATGCTGCCAAAATCATTCCAATTAGACAATCCTACAACAAAATATGATCATAATACTAAACATATGTCTTTTTGGGAGAAAACTATAATTTTGCAATATTTTGCTTTGCTTTTGCAATGGTTTGCTAACATCAAAAGAACCAATCAAAACACATCAAAAGGTATTCAAAGCATGCATAAGGCTATCCTTCAATGAATAAATGATAAATTTAATTATTTAAGCACAAAAATCATGAAGCAAGCAAAGACTTAATCCAAAAAATAAAAATAAAAAAATGAGCAAAAGTGTGTTCATTACTTCCATTGCTCGATTTTGCTGTAGAAAATCTTGGTACGAAAATGGCATATTCTTCTCTTTCATATTTAAGTTTGAATTTGCGTGTTTTGTGCTTCTGCATGCCGTTCAATTTTGTAATTGGAATCTCAATACAAAAATTATTTTCATCTTTTTTTTTTTTTTTTTTTTTTTTTTTTTTGAGTTTGATTTTCTATGTTATTCAAGACTTCTACTGCTCAATTTTTGTTGTAGACAATATATGTAAAAAAGACTTTTAACTTTCTTCAATTTCGTTATTGAGTTAGATTTTCATGTGTTCTTGTGGTGAAATCACAATGAGAAAATTAGTCTTAAAATAAAAAATCAACAAGGTGAATGGAAACACAACTCATAGCAGCATTTTTTATTTCGATCAATTGTTTATGGCAAAAGTCAATAAAAAAAGTTGTTTTACCAAACACCAAATTTAGCTATTTAACTAAAAAAAAAAAAAAAAAAAAAAAAAAAAAAAAAAACTAAATCAAACAATCAAAGTTGGTCAAATAAGTTGAAAAATGGATAATCAACCATTTCTCAAACACTTCCTTTACATCTGGATATACCATCTATCACATTGATACAAATTTATACCACCTATCTAGGGGTGTGCAATCAGTTAACTGTTCAGTTAGCCGAACCCGTTTTAACTGAAGTTTTTAAAGGGTTAATCGTTAACCGAATCGAACTTTGTATTACCGAATTAACAGAACTAATTTTTTTTTTTTCAGATAACCGATTGACCAAATTTTTTAAGCTAAAATTTTAAATCTTTAAAATAATACTTATAATAATAAATTCAATTAAAATAATACTCATAATAATAAATTCATAAGAAAATATATAAATACAATAATGACAATACCATAACAACACTACAAATATAAAGTACAAATTATAAAGTCCAAACATCATATATATATATATATATATATATATATATATATATATATATATATATATATATATATATATATATATATATTTAATTATTTATATATATATTTAAAATTTCGATTAATCAATATTTTCGAACCAAATTAACCGTTAATCGAAATTTTGCAAACTCATTAACCATTAAGCGAATCAAAATTTTTCGGTTAAAGAACGGTTAACCGAAATTCTTCGATTCGATCGGTTAATCGAACTTTCATCGAAGTTTGCACACCCCTACATCCATCACATTGATAAAAATTTATGATTCCTAAAATTTGATCACTTATTAGAAATTCAAATTATAATTTATGATTTCTTAAATTAGATAACTTATTGCAAAAGTGACCCTAATTAACAGATCATATCTAATGCCGTGCGGATCTTCTCCATCAAGAAATTAATAATTCAAAAAAAAGAAAAAAAAAAAGACAATTTATAGACTGCAGTTGGTTCATAACACCTAAACTGAGCTGCAATCTGGTCTTCTGTGATTTTCATGACACTTTTAACTGTTTGCAATTGCCCCTCCCCAACGTTTAACACGAACATCTGCAAGACTGGCCTGCACATCCATAAAAACACAACATCATCTAATTAATGTTCCGGATTGGAATATCGAATATAAGATTAACCTAGGCCGATGCAATTTCAGCCCTATGCGACTTTTAATCGGCCGGCTGACCAGACGCTCTAAGTGCCAAGTTGGGCACCTAACTAGGTCGGGTCCGTGCCCAACTCAGTCGAGTGTTTTTTTTGCCTTCTGGGTTGCCCTCACGACTTTTAATCGGTCGACTGACCAGACGCTCTAAGTGCCAAGTTGGGCGCCTAACTTGGTCGAGTCGGCGCCCAACTCAGCCGAGTGTCTTTTTGCCTTCTGGATTGCCCTAGACGACTTTTAATCAGTCGACTGACCAGACGCTCTAAGTGCCAAGTTGGGCGCCTAACTTAGTCGAGTCGGCGCCCAACTCAGCCGAGTGTTTTTTTGCTTTTTGGGTTGCTCCTCTTCTATATTCATCCAGCCATGTACTCAACTAACCATCTAACATATGTAGTTGACTAGTTTGTAAAATTATAACAGTCTAACAAAATGGGGACGATATACTCAGATTACTTGGCCACTTAGATACTCTAAACGCTAAGAACCTGACTAGCGCCTAGCGTCTTCTGCAACATTGCGTAGTTTTACTTTGCTCTTCTCTTGTTAGATAATTGTACTTTGATCCTTAAACACTCATAATTAATAATATTAGCGGATTAAGTATAGGGAGAGGATTACCTCTTTATTCCAATCTGTGATTGAGACAATCACTATGAGTATGATGGTCTGCAAGCACACTCCTCCAATCATCCCACCCCAGATTCCCTGCAATCACGAAATTTATGTAACAATCTGTATGGACATACAAAAGACACAACTAGGATGTCTGTTAAGTGATTCCTAGGAACATAGTTATACCGTTGCACCAAAGTCAAATGTAAATCCCAACAGAATTCCAGCAGGCAACCCCACAATGTAGTAACATCCAATGTTGATATATGCTACAATATACTGCCATCCAGCTCCAACGGCAACCCCTGATGAACCATGAAATAAACCATCAATCAAGCTTGCATTCGAGTATTCTGATCGTCGAACATAATATATATAAATAATTAATGTACAGTCTCAATGTCAGCTTAGTCTTTTAGTTGAAACAGACCAGATAAGACGGGTTGGAGGCTGTTCAACAGACATGACAAGGCCAGCAAAACCGCGAGCTTTGTAGTTTCCTTAGCCACAGCGTCGCTGTTGGTGAAAAGGGATGGGAAAATATTCTTCGTTGCAAGCACGACGACCATAACAACAGCTCCAATCGCCACGGATGTAATGGAAACTACCAGCACTGCAAATTTCGCTATGCTTGGATTCCCAGCTCCAAGTTCATTCGACACTCTCACACTGCAAAATCCATGAATCAACAATGGGATCAGGCCATAAAGCAGATCAATTGAGGCATGAATGTTAATTAATTGCTAAAAGATTCACCTTATGGCTGCATTAAATCCAATTGAAATCATTGCACTCCATCCTAGAAGGTTCATGCTGCATATATAAAATCGCAGATCGTTATTATAATCTAAAACCAAAAAGACTGAATCCAGTCCATTAGCTAGTTTAACCCATGACCTAACGCATTACCAGATAGAAAGGGCATCAACCGGGACCAAAGGGTTCTCCAATCGACCCGCTATCACAATGATCACCATCAAGTACCAAAACTCCAAGCTGCAATTAATCAATTCCACGTATCGTTACATATCAAAACACAGATCATTTGACAAGAAACGAACAGGAAATGCCACTACTGGAAATTCTGAAATTTCCGACCACCTGTGATCTTAAATCAAGTTGAAAGCCTTGTTTCCGACCACTTTTGGTATCCGGAAAAACCTTTGCTGCTATTTCCGACCACTTTTTGCTTTCAACTTGATTTAAGATCACTTTCAGGTGGTCGGAAATTCCACAATTTCCAGTAGTGTACAGGTATGTACCAGAGCATGACTGCAGATGCCAGTGAGAGCTTGATGAAGGCGAACAAGTCGTGAAACGCCTGCCACGAGAACCCGGTCCAGGCGCCATCGGATTTGGTGACGAAGATGTAAATGATCTGCAGAATGACTATGAGCCACCATGAAGAGTTGAGGGTGACTGCTGCGCCTACTAGTCCCCAGTTCAGCTTGATTATGAGCAGCCAGCTGAAGAAGGCGTGTAGCAGAAGCACTGCTGCTGAAATCCATGCCATTACCAGAACTTTCCTCTGGGATTGCAGGAATTTCTGGACTGGGAAGTTGAGGGCATATGCGAATAGTTGTGGTATCATCCATAACGAAAATTTTCCTGCATTAACTTAGGATGTCAATTTTGCAAGCAAACATTATTAAACACTCAACTTTTTGTTTACAAGGTTTTATTTAGTCAAGGCATTGCTTTAATCTTTGATTTACCAGAAACCGAGAAGGCCAACAGGCCACTCCCACTAAGAGTTGAGTTTAAAACCTTTTAGTTACCAAATCCAACAATCTGAACAACTATTGGGTGTGTGCTAGATAGATTACCCTACATTACTTTGATTTGGTAGAAGATTGAGTTTGTCCGCTTTTGATCCTTCAAGTGTTTGTCACTCGAGTGGTCCAACCCATGATTTCCAATTTAAAGAGTCATTTCATGCCACTAGACCACAAATATATATATATATATATATATATATATATATATATATATATATATATATATATATATTTGATAGTTTATGAAATATATTTTATATGTATCTTTATCTCATTTATAGTTAAACTATGTCAATTCATTAAGTTTGATATCAAAGTTTTATTTAAAAGAAACTAAAATTCTTTGATTGGATCCACAAATCTTTGGTAGTCTCCACTTGTACTCATAATTAAATATGGAAGCAAAGGGTTAGTTGAGGTAGATATAGGTAGGCCACCAGGCTAATTGTAACCTTTGAAAAATTAAAGGGTCAAAGTATTGACTCATCTATAAATTAAAAGGTACATTAATTGGAGATTTAAAATTGTCATTTCATAACAAAAAAAAAATTTGTCATTCCATAAAAATATAGGAACAAAAACACTATTCTTTCGAGTTAGAAACTATAGTCATATGACCTGATTTTTGAGAAAGTTTATAGTTGATTAGTACAAACTGAGAAAATTAATAGACAATTCTCATAAGAAGTCAAATTGAACTTAAAAGTTTGTGGTTATCAAATTAAACCAGCTACCCTACTAATAACTCAGCTAGGTTACTCCCTATATAATAATCAATATGCTAAGTTAATAGGGAATGGAAAATGAGAGTGCATGTAATATAATTTTCGGAATCGAAAAAGAAGGAAATGAAGCAAGAACAGACCGGCGGCTTTGGAGATTTCTTGGGTCTGTCCAATAAGGTGGAGAATTGGAGGAGAGAAGACATAAATGGGAACCAAAAAACAGGCAGTTGTGAGCAATATAACCCATGATCTTTGCATGTATATACCCAACATACTCATCTTCCCTGCCCCATATGCTTGCCCACACAATGTCTCCAATGCACTTCCCATTCCCAGCTGCACATTCATTTACTATACATTAGGACTAAAAGTGATAAAAATTTGATCTTTAAAATCACTATTGAAAATTATGAAATTTCCGACCACCTGAAAATGATCTTAAATCAAGTCGAAAACTTTGTTCCGACCACTTTTGGTATCCGGAAAAACATTTGTTGCTATTTCCGATCACTTTTTGGTATCAACTTGATTTAAAGATCACTTTCAGGTGGTCGGAGGAAATTTCATAATTTCCAGTAGTGAATTATGATGAATAGAAGCAAAAATAAATGAATTTACCATGACCCCATAAGCAAGGCCGGCGACGACGGAGTTCTCGACGGAAACAGCGGCGAGTTCAAGCTCGCCGACTTGGCCGGCGAAGGTCTGGGTAAGAGCACCCAAAGAGTACTGACAAATGACGGTGAAAATGGCCGGCCCGGCAATCGTCCATAGCTTCTTGGATTCATCTCCGAACTCTCTGATCTTCTTCCCCTTCAGCCGTGCAGGCTGCTTTCCCACCTCGCCATTGTGGTTGTTAGTGTGCTCCAGAAGCGGCGCCGCCGCCTCGCTGCCGGCCATGGAGATGACAGAGAAAAGATCAAAGAGAAGTACAATAACAGTGCAGGCGAGGGTGGAAAGAATTGAAACAACGTGGGGGATTTTTGTATAGATTTCTTCGTCCCATTGATATCCTTTGGTTGCTTAGGACGTACAACGTTTTCTTCTCCAAAGATTAAACAAAGTTTACACGATGTTGCACGAGCAAATTTTTATAATCTTACAAGTTAAAACCAACCCATATGTGTACGCTACCTAGTAAATTAGTACACAATGCGCATAGAAATAAGTTCAAACTTTCGATATAGTGATTAAAATTCTTCCCTCTTCAATTAACATCTTTTAGCAATAATACACTTTTTTATTTGTAGTTTGGCTACAAGTATAAAAGTTTATTTAAATTTTTTTTAAAAAGAAAATTTATACTTTTAATTTTTGAGTTACAGAACAAGTGTAAAATTTGTCCCGGAATTGTAAATTTAACCATTAATTAGTCATTAGTTATTTTGGTCCATCATAGATATATATAGAGAGACCAACATTTCAACTTTGATGAGTGGTTATTTCGGTAATTCAAGAGACGAAAATAATCACATTTATAATTAATTCAGCCTTAGAGATTAAACTTATACTTGTTCTATATTTCAAGAAGTACTTTCAAAAAAAATATTTCAAGAAGTAAAAGTGGATAATTTTTTTTTTTTAAAAAATCATTTTGGAAATAGCGAATAATAGTGGACCTTAAGTAAATACACTTAAGATGACATCTATGGGTTCATGTTTGGGCCTAAGATCCAAGAACAAAAAAAAAAAAAAAAGAAAAAAAAAAAAGGTTGGCCCGGCAAGCTAGGCAGGACTATTGGCCTAACATAAAACTAAAGTCTCAAGACATCCTTGAAGACAAGACATTTGGTGAACAATTGTTGTCAAGGCAGGCGTACGTTTATAAGTGTTTGTTAAACAGTACAATTTGTTTTTGCGGTTCACGCTTAGCCTGCACATTCTTTAGCTTTCTTGTCTTCCGTTTCTCAAATAATTGCGTCTCCCTCGTGCCTTCTTAGGTCAAAACAATTGAGGACTAAAACTTCAACACGACTTAACAACTTTGCTTAATTATTATTCAAAACTCAAATTCTCCATAAAGTTCTGTTAATCTCATTTAATGATATGAACAATCGTGTCGAACCAAGACTTTGACTTCTCCATTAATGATATGATCAATCGGTAAACTCCATTGTTAAGCTCTAATAATACAATCTTACATCATTTCTAGAACAAATCACGGAATGATATTTAAGTTTAATATATGTGTTCTTCTACTTATTGGACTAGTTTTTTAATTGAGTCTTCTAATTATCACTAGTGTTTTTGGTATAGCAAAGGGCATCGAGAGGAGTACAGAACATGATAACTCGCGGATCAAGTATACCCCTCATTATTGGGTCAAATTAATTGACTAGTTGTCTTGGTAATCAAAAGATTCCAAGTTTGACTCTCTTTGCGGAAAGTATGAGTACGGAATATGATAACTCGCGGACCAAGTATACAACTCATTCGGTTAATTGGGTTAGCCCCAACCACATGTAGTAACACAATTAACAATTGCACCCAAATTTGTCAGATAGTTGTCTTGGTAATCACGATTCCAACTTTGACTCTCTTTGGAAGCAGTTTATTGACATTCTTGATTTGAGCCAATCAGCTATGGTCATCCTAGCCAAGTTCGTCGGACAATTAGGGTCTTAGCAGTGCAATATCAATAGTGCTTTCTCCCAGCCAAGTTGATCAAACAGTTGAAACCACAATAAGGCCGGTTTCAAATTGAATTCTTGTTGTGAAATCTGTTTATTACTTATTAGCTTTCTTAATTTGACCAGTCAACTATGAAAATTCTAGAGCACACCTTCGGATGGGATTGCGGCCTGCCTGCGGGCTTTCCCATAAATCAAAGGAATCAACAATTGTCCTGGGATACAACTCATCTAATCGACCAATTCAAAAGTAAGTTGATATTTCTATATATTTTGCTAGATAGACACCCCAAGAGTCACATTTTCACTTTTTCAAGGGATGGAAAAGCCAAATTATTCAAACTGTTGAAGATGTTTGGTTGCTGATAACGGAAAAAAAGTGCGTGTGGGGTTGGCGGATCGCTAGATCATTCTTGATTTAACGCTCTACACATAAATGTCAACCCCTCCAAACCTAACGTTGTTTCGCAGATACAAGTAAACAACTAATAATCAAACCGCGCAAAACATCCTCAGATCAGTTTTCCACCGCCCAAGACTTCCTGCATGCATTCATATATAAACCCCTCCAAACCCTCTTCTTCATATCAGTTCTGCAGTTCCATTGAAGCTTTCTCAGTTCTATAATCGTCAACAATGGAAGGGCTATGCGTTAAACTATTCTCATCAATGTATGTATATTCTGCAGAATTCCTGTACAGTCACTACTGGAAATTATGAAATTTCCGACCACCTGAAAGTGATTTTCAAGTCCAAAGCCTTGCTCCGACCACTTTTGATATCCGGAAAAACCTTTATTGCTATTTCCAGTAGTGAGTATGCATATTAATTAAGGTTGTCTGTACATTTCTCTTGCAGAAGAAAGCACAGGGTGAAGAAAAAACCGGCAATGGGAATCCTTAACAGCTCCGATGATGCCAGCCATGAAGGTATAAAGACGGTCGGAGTCGACAACCGGTGCGAATTCTCCGGCAGATCGGATCTCTGCATGTGCATCATTACTTGGAATATGAATGGACAGGTTTGCATTATTATTTTTTTAAGGTTGTTTATGTATTTATTTATTTATTAATTGATTTATTCTGCTATGGTGAAGGTGAGTATGGAGGACATAGAAAAACTAGTGGAAGGGAACAGAGAATTTGATCTACTAGTGATTGGTCTGCAAGAGGTTCCTCGGATTAATATTTCCAGATTGTTGAAGAATGCCCTTTCTGATATTCATATGTAAGCTAAGCTTTCTACCTCAATCATTTTTCTTAATTGCTTAATTATATTGTCTTTATATTTTTTAGGAAATTCTAAGGTGATTATATTCATACATATATATGCTCGATTTTTGGGCATTAAGGGCCGAGATTCGCAAAAGATTAGTGTCTTTAATGGTGTACTAGAGTTCTGTCCCCATGTCTACTCAAATGCTCGGCTCGAGGGTTAGTAGTCAAGCACTCTGTTTGAGGCTCTGTTTGGCAAACTTAACTGAAAAGATGGAAAAAAAGTTAAGAAGTTAAGAACTTATTTTAAGTTACGAGCTTATTTTGAGAACATTACCAACCAGAGTTTATAGCTTATTAGGAGCTTAAAATAAGCTATAAGCTCCTAAATAAGCTCTGCCAAACAGAGCTTGAGTCCAACTGATTAATTACTTGGGGATCAATTGATTGGGCTTAGTATCTTAGTCATTTAGTGCTAATTGGCATCATATAATTTTTATTATTTTTATTGTTATTATAATGTTTTATTATTAGATTAAGTTATTAGGGAAAATGTGTGGACAATATTAGGCCGGCATGGTTGGTATAAGATGAAAACAGTCAAACTTTCCAATTGAAACAAAATATAAAACAAAATTCTCTACCCAATTAAGGCTCTCTTATTACATAATTAATAATACGGAGTATATAATTAAGGTCATTTTCATCCATGGATATAATATACATGACTTCTCCTATAAGTTAGCTTTTCATTAAACTTTACGTACTAGATGGGTTTTTGAAATTAGACTCACACAACATGCCAAATCAATGTTGGTCTATAGTGGGTCCTTCTCCACTATTTTTTTTTTTTAATATAACGTCTAATATTGTCTTTGATCATTAAGTTTTTTTCATTAAATTCAAATTTTTAGCTATAACACAAGTTTTAATTTTGTTTACCCAATTGGTTGATATGATGAAGGCTAATAGGAAAAGCAGTGATGCAATCTCTGCAGCTCTACATTTTTGGACCCAAGAATTTGGCGCCAAACATCGGAGGTAAAATATGTGTATACATATTAGTATTTTAATTATTACACTAATTTTTTTTTTTATACGGAGACAAATTCACAATCACTATTTAAGATTTTGCATTGGATAAACACTGGCCCCGCCTGTATGATAGTTCACAAAGAAAAAATAAAGCGAATCATGTATGATAAATTTGACCAAAAGAGTATTGGCGAGAATATAGAGTAATAATTTAGTGCTTAATTTGCAGAGTTAAAAGTGGATATGCACAGCATAGGAGGATTTGGAGGGTTGATAAGGAGAAAGAAAGGAGCTGTGGCTATTAGAGTTAGCTACAAGGGAATCTCCATGGTCTTCGTTTCTTGTCATTTATCCGGTAAATTTTTTTCAATATTTTATGATTAAAACGTGACAATTTATATCATCGACCAGGTCCACATAGCATTATGGGTTCTAAATCGAAATAACGAAATACAGAATTCAAAACACAAGACATATACACATGTTATATGTTTACTTATTTTTAAAATCTGATTTAGGTACAATAATTTGTGTTCGGCACAAAACTTTCCAACAGACACAGAAATTCATAACAGAAGATACAATTACTAATTTGTTTTAGGTACAGAATTTCATTACACAAGATACAAAAACTCACAACATAAGACACATACACATACACCCGAGTTCAAGAACAGATCATTTAACATTGATGCATGAAAACTAGATTAAGGTTATTAATTATTTAAATGTGAGGGTACTTTGATTATATTGTAGCACATGCACACAATGTGGAAGAGAGGAATTTGGAATTGAAGAAGATATCAGACTCCCTCTTCTCCAAGAATTGGAACCCATATGCAAGGCCTGCCAAAGTTACAGTATGGTTGGGAGACCTAAACTATAGATTGCAAGGAATCAAGACTTATCCTGCTAGAGATTTGATTCACGGAGACCTTCACAAAGTAAGTAGTACATACCACAACACCTTGAACCCCCTCTTGTACCGAAAAACTAATCTGGCCAGCACTTGTAAACTGTGAACTTGTGAAGGATTGCACCGCAACTACTATACGATTGCACTGTTACTGCTGCCAGACATGGACGACCTTGGAGTGCAATCTTGTAATTAGTGTGGTGTAATCCTTCACAAGTTCGCAGTTCGGATATTAAGATTGTTCTCACTTGATTAGAAATCTATATATATAATTTTTTTTTTTTTAATAATTGTTGTAGATGCTAACTAGCAGAGACCAATTATTACAAGAGGCTGAAAGAGGGGAGATTTTCAATGGATATTATGAAGGGGCATTGGCTTTCAAACCTACTTACAAATATGATATTGGCAGCAGCAGCTATGATACCAGTCACAAGGTCATCATCTCTTTCCAATTTTCATTTTACTTTTAATTTAATTTTTTTTTTTTGATTTACAAAGGAAAATAACTGTAGTCACTAATCGAACGTGTATATTGGATAAACCTCTCCCCACGACCTGTAGTGATGTCAATACAAACTGCTGTGATTGAAAGTTGAATTTGGAACCTTGTGGTTATCAAGAGACAATAATTCGATCAATTTGACTGGAATTTTTAATTATTTTACATTATATATATATAGTTTGAGTATTTATGAATGTATATTTTAAATAAGTGCAGGTTAGAGTACCATCATGGACCGACAGAATATTGTTCAAGATACACAGCAGTGACATAAATGCGACTTTGCATTCATATGAATCCATAGACAATATCCACAGCTCTGATCACAGGCCAGTTAAAGCTCATCTTTGCTTAACACTGAACAGTAGTTCAGTATCTACAAACCAGCAAGAAAGCTCACAATAATTCAACTCCAAAAAAGCACTACTTTTTGGTTATGTAAATTCATGATTGGAAAAGGAGTCTAAGGTGCCAATCAATACCGTGTTAGTTTGCATCGAGTATAGTTAATGGTACAACGTACAACTTGTGCAATTAAAAAAAAAAAAAAATTGGTTAAGTTTGGTGCGAGTTGGTATGGTGCTGATCGACACCTTGTATGCTTCCCTTTTGCTTAGATTGGCCATGACCCAAGTGTTATTTTTGTCACTATTATTCATTCCTTTGTACATTTTTTGTATTTATTTTAAACCCTTTAGTATGTTTGTATAGATCGAAATTTGTATAATACATATATGGTTTTAGACAATGAATCTTGATTGTGTAACGATAACGAACAACAAAATACAATTTTCACTTTAATTTTACAACTAAGAGTTATATGTCAATTACAAAACCCAAATTATTCACGAATTATATATATATATAATTTTTGTAGCCATTTTGTGTTTTAGTACTAAAAATATATTTAATAGGCCCCAAAGTTTGTAATAGTTACACTATTTTCTGGGTGCCGAAGTCCCAAAGTTAGGGACACGTCACCTGTCGCCGGAGTCCCGAACCCACCGCCACAATCCACCACCGGAGCCGCCGCTGCCGCGAAAGATAGGCTCACAGGGGGCGGCACGGCGGCGGTGTTACCATTAATCATCGTGACTTGGTTTCCCGAGGCGGCGTACTGGGCTGCATAATTATTGATGATGTTAGTTCGTGAGGAGTCGTTTTCCGTGGCATTGAATTGGCATCTTTTTGTCGCTGCAGCCGACGGTAACGTTGTTGTCGTCGTCGGCGTAGTCGATGTTGTCGCAGTAATTTCCTTACTATTATCATCATCGTCGTCACGCGGCATCGGTGTCTGTGCGTTTTCTTCTTCTTTAGTTTCTTGTTCGTACATTTCTTCCACCATGGGTTTCCACAGCCTTACCCTAGCATTAATAAACCAATTTGAAACCTGCAGTAAATCAAACAACAACCCATCATCATTTACTGCCGTCTAGAAAATACTACGTGTACTCCCACTCTATATCCTCAATTTTTACTCTTAAATACAAAATTTTGATGTAGTTACTGGGAAAAAGAATAACTTATTAGAGTCCGCCCTACTATATATATATATATATATATATATATATATATATATATATATATATATATAGACTCGTGTTCAGGTGCCAATGGCGTGCCCAGGAGAGAACTGCAAACTATCCGGTGCACGAGGCAAAATTACATGCAGGTGAAAATAGGTACATTTTTAATTGATTTTACCTGCACTTTTTACTTGTAAAGGTGTGACCAACTACTTGCACATATAAAACATTTACCGAAAGACACGTGACGTGCACTAGATAGTTCCCAGTTCTTAAAAGGACCATGGTTGGTGGTTGGTTAACCAGTTGTGGTCCTCTTGAAAGGACCATGGTTGGTTAAAATTTAATAGTTGAAGGATCATGAGTGGTTAACTTAAACTAGAGATGGTTAAATTTGAAAGTCGAAGACCGGTCAATTTGAAAGTTTAGGATTAAACGTGGCAAAACCATTATACTCGGAAGAGTGTTAATACCATCTGAGGTCCTCCGAGTATAGTGGTTTTGCCACGTTTTTAGTCCTAAACTTTCAAATTGACCATCTGTGGTCCTTCGACTTTTAAACTTAACCATTCGTGGTCCAAGTTAACCACTTATAGTCCTTCAAGTTTTGAAATTTAACCAGCTGTGGTCCTCTTGAAAGGACCATGGTTGGTTAAAATTTAATAGTTGAAGGACCATGGGTGGTTAACTTAGACCATTAAATTTGAAAGTCGAAGGACCATATATGGTCACTTTGAAAGTTTAGGACTAAATGTGGCAAAATCACTATACTCAGAGGACCTCAGATGGTATTAACTCATATATATATATATAATGAAGCTATAAATGGGGTTCATCATACAGAGATATGTGAGAATTAATGGGCACCTGATTTTTGGACAGACCAGTTTGGCGAGACAACAAAACCTTGTCTGCTTCACTCGGATACCTGGAAGACCACATTACAAGAATCCTTAATTTTCACTTCTGGGAATCACACAAAAACAAGATAGACAGAAAGAAAGACTTACGGGTTAAGAAAATGCTCGAAAAGCCACGATCTCAGGACGTTAACGGACCGGTCCGGCAGCCCTCTTTGCGGCCGCCATGGCTCAGAGTCCAGAAGCATTCCCATCTGGTTCAAAGCACCTTTCTGTTGCCTCAGCTTCTGGTCTAGCAGTTTCAGCCTCGGCGTTTCCCCTTTCGTCAACCCATAACTCCCTGCAACGCCGCCTTGCTTCTTCTCCCCCAGAGCTCTGTAAGTCTCCCGGAGCTGACTCACTATACCGTCCTTCAGGCACCGGAAATGCCTCGACATCGCCGTCTGCGCAAACCCCATGTACGGCGCCGCCGCGCCGCATCCCATCACCGAATCGAACGAGCTCACCATCACCCCCATCTGCTCCCGGTAACGCACGTACCGATCTTCAACCTGTGTTTTTATTTTTGTTTTTTTCACTGTTTTAGTTAGCATCATCATTGGTTTAAAGCTAGCTAGCAAAGTGATTAATGGGTTTTTGCAGAGTAATGGTGGTAATGATTCATGCTTTTGATTAAACAAATGAGGGGATATGTTAAAGATAATTGGAAAGACCCATGGTCCCCCACGGGCTGATGATGAAAGTAATGAGATTTATGCAGGAGATTAGCATAGTTTAATGTTAATCCAGTACGGATTAATGTTTGCTGATCAGGATCCTAGTTGGTTCCCAAACAACCTATAATGGGGGCATGTTCTTCCCACACTCGACATGTACCCAACCTTACCTGCAACCTTTCAAGTTGGGACAACCAATAAACTTGCAGTTACTATCTGATGGTCTGCACTGTACATGATAAATCTTGACAAAAATGAGGTGACCAGCTTAAGTTGTCCATAACAGACTGACTCAAACCAATGGTCAATAGGTCATTATTACTACTGGGCAGAACTTGTAACTTTGTCGTTACTGAGTCAACAGTTTGATCTGAAAATGTTATAATTTGATGGCCTGGATTACTTGTCATGTCCATTATTTTAAGATCAAACCAACTTTCTTTTGTTTGATTATCAAGTTTTGTGTGTTTTTTATAGTATATATGCATAAAGAACTTTAATTTTGTCCTCTCCATGGGTAAAGTTTGTGTTCACATGATGGCATTATTGCTTTCATTTCAAAAGGAGGAGAATATATATATAATTAATCTAGTAAGGAAAGGCTGAAAGAGCGGCGACTTGCCTCTTCAAGCATAGCTAACAGCTTGATCTTCTTTCTCTGAATCTCAGACCTTTCTGCAGCTGATAATGGCGGCCGCTCAGCCGCCGGAGAGTTACCGGTTTCCGTGTCGCCGCAGCTAGGGTTTCCACTCCCACTCCTCTTCTTCACCCTCCCGCCATTCTTGAAGTGAAGCTCTCTTCCCAGGCAGCAGAATTCTTGAAGCAATTCCTGGGCAGCCTTCAGGTACCTCGGATGTCGGACCTGCATAACGTTCATCACCTCTATTTCCCTTCTGGGTTCTTCAAGAAAATGAGTGCCCAAAGGTAATAATTCTTGGTTAGTGTAGTAATTATTGTTAATCCCTCCATTTCTTGTCTGAAACTCCTCCATTTTCAACGACAACGAAAGCCCTTGATGAGCTTCTTCCATGGTTATCAGCGGACTAACAACTTGGAATCCTTGATGGATAAGGTTGGATTCCGGTGATAGATCGGTGCCGGCTAACGTAAACGGTGCAGTACGAGGTGGTGGGGAGGAGCTGGGTTTGACATGGATAAGATTCATCAATGGAAGCTGCGAAAATTGAAGTCAATTTGTTGAGATTAACAAGAACAATAAAACTGGTAACAGTTGCAGAAAAATAAAGAAGACAAGATTTATGTGTATATATTTATTATTATATACAACCCTAATTTCTTAAAGTTTGATCCATATGAGACATATATATATATACATGTTTTAGTATAGTTATTATTAATTACTCACTGCTTGGTTTAATGAGAGTGGATTATCTTTCTGAGGCCATGATCTGCCGCCATAGCTGGAAGCTTGGATCTGCTCTTCCAGAACTTGTGCGGCGGATTTCCGCCACGCAGACCGGTAGTTGTCCACCATCTCCGCCAGCATTCCGCCGTTGGAGTCATCACATCCCGGTGGCGCGTCTCCTTCAAACCCTCCATGAATTCTCATCATCATCTCTCTGCAGGGATTATTGTAGAATTCTTGTTGAGAGTAGCTTTCAGACATGGAATTTTGCAGAATTGCAGAACCAAAAAAAAAAAACCTGAAAATGGAAAGATCAGATGATCAAAATTGAAGACTCATAGCTACATGAGAGAGGAGTTTGAATAATTTGGAACCCTTTAATTCCTATTTTCTTTTGGGTTCATTTTCGATCTGTTCTTGAAGTTTTTGGTTGTGTTGATAACAATTACCTGAGAGAGAAGAAGCAGGTTAGATGGAGATTGATGATACAGACATCATTTGATCATGGATAAACAGCTTTCTGGGCATAGAGAGTTTGATGATTGATAGATCTTTCATGGAAAACTTTTCTCTCAATCAAACAAGAAACAAAGCTTGCAGGCAGCTTGGAGGATGGGATAATGAAAGGAGAGAACCTCTTAAAGGGTCACTCTCAACTCCACTTCTCCTTTATTTAATTCCATAATATCTTCTTTCTTTTGAATAATATTAATAAATCATAAATCACAAAAATATTATCTTAAAAATAAGGTACAAACTCATGTCGGAGTGCTTTATCACCCTAAATAAGGTAGTGAATATTAAAAAAAAAATGTATCCTAGGGAGTGCACAAGGTAAACTCCGAACCTATGTAATAACTTGCGCAAACCACACACTGGAGAGGTAATCCACACTAGAAAGACTGTTTGTGACAGGCTAGACCAAAGAAGGTGCTTGCCAGGGTGAATATTAAACTTTTTTTTTTTTAACCTAAGGAAATGTACTCGGTAAACTTTGTTAATGTGTAATAGCTGACAAACTATACCAGAGAAGTTATCCACATTAGAAAGACCTTGTGCGACGGGCTCGCCAGAGAGAGTGCTGACAAGAATTAAAGTCATTACGACCAAGTATGAGAATCATGCTTCACTCATTCGCACACCCTACAGCGCCAGAGAGGGTGTGGCAAGTTTTTCATGTATATATATCCATGTGGATATAAAAGAATAGATAACCAATCATATTATAGTATGTTGTGAAATAAAGAGAAAACCAATTAAACTTAAAATGTAATGCTGATGAATGGAAAGGGACAAGTCTGCCATTGTCGAAGCAAGCCATGAGGTTTTGTTCTTTGCAATTTGGAAGATACAACTGTGCAATCGCTGGCTGGGAGATGATGATAAAGTTAAGGTTATTATTTACTTTGTGGGGGACTACCCCAGTTTTGAAAATTCATCTCAGACCTCTATGGATCTCATTCTCACTGCTAACATTATCTACTTATCCATCAAATCAATTTTTTGAGAACGAAGAAATTATATAATAATAATATATTCAAATTTCATACCGTAAGACATTAATCTATTAGATTAAAAGTTTATTTAAGACTTACATTTAGCGCACGATAAATTCCTGAGTTTATGCATGGGTCCATAATATATTCGGACCCAAAAAACATGATTTACAATGTTACCCATTTCATTTTCAACAAGTGGCCTGGCACCAAGAAAATCGCAAATTATGCTATGGAATCGTGTTCACCGAGAATGGTGAATACAAGGCAAAACGACGTCGTTTTTAGGCCAAAAAAAAAAAAATTTCGCGGATGTGGAGTTAACGGCGCGCGTTTGATCAAATTATGAATTTTCTGTTATGAGATTATGAATTTTATGAAAATTCATAATCTCATAACAGAAAATTCATAATCGCATAACAGAAAATTCATAATCTCACAACTGAAAATTCATAATCTCATAACAGAAAATTCATAATCTTATAACAGAAAATTCATAATCTCATGGTTCCAAAGTGAATGTGTAGGCATGGTTCCAAAGTGAATGTGCAGGCATGGATTCATAATTTATGAATGTCCGTGATTTCGGACGGGAATATATAGGCATGGTTCCAAAGTGAATGTGCAGGCATGAATTCATAATTTATGAATGTCCGAAATTATGAATGTAATGAAAATTCATAATCTCATAACAGAAAATTCATAATCGCATAACAGAAAATTCATAATCTCATAACTGAAAATTCATAATCTCATAACAGAAAATTCATAATCTTATAACAGAAAATTCATAATCTCATGGTTCCAAAGTGAATGTGTAGGCATGGTTCCAAAGTGAATGTGCAGCCATGGATTCATAATTTATGAATGTTCGTGATTTCGGACGGGAATGTGTAGGCATGGTTCCAAAGTGAATGTGCAGGCATGAATTCATAATTTATGAATGTCCGAAATCTTTGTTCACCTCAAATTAAAGTGAAACCACAAAATGTAAAAATAAAGAAGAAAAGTCACTGCAATTAATTATTAAAAAAAAAAAAAAAAAAAAAAAGATAACGGTGTACTAACACCGTTAGAACCGTGTTCACCATGAATGGTAAACACGGTTCCATGGCATAACGTCTGCAAGAAAATTTGCATAAATGTTATATTTTATTTTCTAGGTTTCCCATTAAACTAGGTACTGAAAATGCTTCCTACCCCTACAATTACCATTCCTAAATATATATTTTTTTAAATTATTTATTTCCATGAATTACTAATGAATTAATTGACCTTACCTCGAGTTAATTATGAATATGCGTATCCAATAAAAAGATGACACGTCAATGAGTGGCTAATAGAGACTAGGGAGTGTTAATTGTTTGGGTTTCTACCTCCATGAACAATAATGTATGTTTCTAAGATTGATAGTGCATATAAAACAAAGGGAAATGATATAATGTCATACTTAAAAATACCGTATTTTAAAAATACAAATGGATGCATATTCAACTTATTAAAAAAAAATTCTACGTACTTTCAAATTTTATTTCCTCACTTTTACTCCATATATGATGTACACACAATGATATAGGCTATTTCTATTATGTGGGTCTTAAGAAAAATATCTACATCAATATATAATTTGAAAGTGAAAGTATAACTTGAGAGTTCACATAATAATTTTTAACTTGAAAGTGAATATATATATATATATATATATATATATATATATATATATATATATATATATATATATATATATCCTCCTGTCATTTTCTAGTTTAATAACACGTCACTTTTATGTACGGTATCAAAACATTATTTCCCATAATAAAACAAAACAAGAGTAATTAATTAGCTAGGGTTTCAGCATTCAAAAAAAAAAAAAAATTAGCTAGGGTTTCACAGGTGTTATACGTACAAAATGAAGGATATAATTATAATTATAATTATAATTATAATATAAAAATGTAAAAATAAAAATAAAGATGAATGATTCATATTGCCGCAGCCACACCCACTTTGCATTGTTATCAATTAAAAAATGTGTTATCAACAGGTCGTTATCTAATGATTTCAAAAAATAAGATTAAAAAACATCCTAAAAAGAATGACGGAATAAGTGAAGCATAATTCTTATACTAAAATGTTACAAATTTGACTATCATTTATATCTTTTTAGTCGAATTCAACACACAAAAGTCTTCTTAGTGTGCAAAAATGAAGTTTATTTAAAGTATTCTCTCGAATAATGATGGTAAATTTTTCATTTGCATTGATGCACAAAAAACCCTAAATATTCGTTCCCAAAACACATTTTTAATTATTATATATTAACCTAATATAATATTATTAGTGAAGTATGAAACCTAATTATTTTAGTAGCTAGCTAGATCGGAGCCGTACCTTAATACCTGTTGAGGCCATTAAAGCGCCAATTCCCTTTTTATATTCTTACAATTTGTTAGTTTTATTGAACTTTACCCCACATAATTAAATTCTAAATTAAATTTTGTGACAAACTAAATTTCAGGAATTGAATCTATGTCCTCTCCTTCTTTCTTTCCAATACTTATACAATTATACATATTAAAAATTAGCATTGCCTACTTTAATGGAGACACACACACAAAAAAAAAAAAAAAAAAAAAAAAAAAAGGATAACAAATTCAAAGAATGGGAAAGATAATGAGAACTACTCTTATTTTAGTCGGGTTGGGGATATAGACGAGGGCATGCTCCTCACCCCGCCTTCACCCCATTATATTTGAATAACTAAGTAATATATATATATATATATATATATATATATATATATATATATATATATATATATATATATAGAGAGAGAGAGAGAGAGAGAGAGAGAGAGAGGTCTATTTTATTGGCTGTTGTTGTTTTAATTTGGTGTTAGTAATGAGAATGGAATTCAAAATTAAATTAGAAAGATAGAGAAATATTCTGAAAGAAGGAATGAATTGAAGGGATTATATATATATATATATATATATATATATATATATATATATATATTATAATGGGGACTCAATATCCTCGAATAATAATCCATGCCTAAACAGGTCAAGATGACAAAGGAATTTCTTTCAATTCTTTCCCCAACTTAGATGAGGGTGGGGTGGGGTGGGGTGGGGATGGGGAGGAGAGGACAAGTGATATATTCTATATTTTTCCAAGTACATATCAAATATGAATTATTAGTTTATTACATTCATTAACTCAATCTTAACTTTTAATAAGCAATAATCAATACAATAGTTACAAAATGTCACATTAAAGGACTCTTCAATAGAGTGTTACGTTGAAGATCAGAATCAGAAGATTATTCAAGATCTTATACCCACACCTTATTGATACTTATTGTAATCATGGAGTTTAATATATAAAAACTCAGAATTATTTTTTGTGCTCACATGCACAATCAAAGATTATATCGAAGAGGTAAGAGTAGTTTGGAGAAGACAATAATCAAGTTGGAGGGGGGGAATGAGGGAGAAATTATTGGAAAGAGGCAAGTGGGACAAGAAGCACTAAGCAACCATGTAAAAGGGCAAAAGGAAAAGGTAACAAGAAAAAGGAATTAATGATGATTTTTGATATAGAGTGGGAATGGAGGACTTTCCACACCTCCTTTACATTTTTTTTTTCTTTATACATTTAATTAGTGATGGAATTAATTAAGCTAACTCAAATTAATTATCTGAATATGACTACGAATAATGTATAAACAAGGTTAGTAGCTATGTATAGAGTTGTAGTGCAATTGTTATATTATGGACCAGGTTCACCATACATTGTTGATCTTAGTCTAAAAATTATGTGTATACAGTTAATATATTGTGTGTCTTCATATTATATATTTTCAATTTATTTATAAGAATATAATTTGTTAATTGTAGACGTACACATAATTTGAATATCATTTTTAATCATGTTGCACAATTCAAGATGAACCATGGTTCATGATATAATTTGATGTCCTAGTGTATCGTGATTGGAAAATCATGCAATTATTATTCTATATATGGACCATGGTCCACAAAACCACATAGTTGTCTAGACGACAGATAAAAAGTACATTATTTGAAAGTAATAAAAAGTACATTATTTGAGTACTGAAAGTACATTATTTTGTATACGATTAAATAATGTACATTCAATACACAAATAAGTACTTTTAATATATTAAAAATGTACCTTGTATTAAGGGAAAA